GACAGATCTGAGAGTACTTATGACAATATGAACTCCACTGTAACACAAGAGATGGACAGAGAAGATGAAGAGGGGATGGTGATCTATGCCAATGCAGACATTGTATTTAATGATGATCGCAGAACAGGGGTGGAGGACTCAGATACAAAGAGACAACGAATGCTTCAAAGCGCAGGTACAGACTCTTCTCATTATGTAAATAAACACAAAGAGAGACATTTTCAGAGTTGAAAACAAAGATTTCGAAACATCTTTCATGTCTGTCATTTTTAGGAAGTGTGCGGAGCAGAATGTACGGAGCAGCTGCAGTATGTTTGGTGCTGATGTGTGTTCTGATGACTGTCATCATAACGCTACGCGTCCAGCTCAGTACAGAGACTCACAAATGTAAAATTGAAATCAACAACTTTAGAGAACAGTTACATAACAATTATATAGACCTCATGGAAGAGATAAGCCAGTTAAAAAAAAGAGAATACAGACCTTAAAAACAAGAAAGACCAGTTACAAACCGTGAATCAAGACCTCATAAGCAAGAGAGAACAGTTAGTAAATGAGAATACCAGACTTAAAAATAAAGGAGCCCAGTTAGAAATCAAGATTGCCAACAATTATACAGACCTCATGGAAGAGAGAAACCAGTCACCAACCGAGAATACCAAACTCAGTAGTTACACAAACTGGCCCAAATCCAATGTGACCACCAATACCAGTAGTAGCTCATTGACTTATAAGTAAGAAGTCATATATTGTTCATTATTATCCAATACAATTCTCACATTTATATGATATCACAAAGTCACACAGAAAGCAAAAATGAAAATCTATAATGCTGATCTGTTGATTAAGGTTACGGAGGTCTAATGAGAAATCTATGTTTATTTGGAACAATTAAATCATCCATAAAGGACATTGTCTCAAAACACCATGACATACTGTATATGTGATGTGTCTTTTAATGCTTTGCTTTTGTATGTTTAAATTTTTTTGAGGACTTTGTAATGCCATTTCTGCGCATTAAATCTTTGAAGTGATGAACTCACACTCGTCTCAAATTTGTCACCTAAGCAGAACAAAGAAAAAAAAGGTGAAATAAGAGATTTAAGTAAAGTAAAGTAAAGTAAAATGCATAATGAATTCTTTGTGTTAAGTAAAATAAGCAAGACATGTATTTTGTGTGCAGGAGGAGACACTTGGTATTAGCCATTACATGCTTCAAACACATTTGTTGAAGATCGTGCTGTAAAAAAAAAAAAATAGGAGAGAAACTTTAAATATCAAGGCAACTTAATGTGTTTAAATTGAGAAACGTTCTCTCAACTATTGTCCTAATAATTGTACTAAGTTAACACTACTTTGTTTTGTCAGTTTGAATTTGTTTGTTGACTAAATGCAAAATGCTTCATTCAGCCAATACAGTTCAAGACAACAACAATTTTGTTGTTCAGCAAATTTTCATTTTGTAACACGATAAATTAATTTGATAAATTGATTAGACACTTTTATGTTAAGTGAAATCTTCATAAAAGAACAATCATCCTACAAAGCAAAGATATCTAATATATAGTTTTAAATGGTTGAACATACTGACAATCAACAAATGTAAAAAGATGAGCTCTTTACATCACATCACAACAAATAACAAACAATAACAACAAAATAACACCAAAAGTTCAAATGAAGTCAGCAAACAGCAAAACAAGAACCCTATAAGAGTAGCCACATAATTTACCTTTTTGACTAGTTGGACAACATTTGAGGGATTCTGTTGGTCAGACATGGGTTTTTATGTAGTTTCAAGAAAATTGCATTTTTGCAAAATTTGTGGATGCTCATTTTTTATTTGTTTAGCTCTGTCTGCTTTACTCAACATAGTGAGAACCCAGTCATAACCATATCAAAATGTGAATATTAATTAGCAAAAACAACAGCTTAAGTTAAAGTTAGAAGTAAACATGCATGCAGGGAACTCAAGTCAACTTACAGCAGATTACAACATACAGTGTTAAATTCATTACATTTTAAACTTATTTGTGATAAATAATATTAATAATAATGAAAGTTTTACACAGTAAGAATCAACATCCAGCACTGGTATATATAAAAGACCAGCGATTAAGACAATATATATTTTAATATATAACACTGGAGTGATACTCATGAGATGGAAATATTTTACAAATATTGGATGTGGTTTTGCCCTTCAGGACAGAGACAGTGCACTCTAAATGAAAATGTAAAACTTTTCTTCTTCTTTTTTTCACTCAAAATGGCATTTCTACGATGTTTTTGAGCTTTATGTGGTATTATATTATTCACAAAGAAAAACACTGAGCAAAGAATACTGAATTTCATGTATTTTGCATCCAGGAAGTGACTTTACGTGTTACAGAAGAAACCACAGACCAGCTAAAGCGTGCCTGTGGTCAGTTGTGAGGCAGAACTGCAAACTGCACTGTCAGGCTATGCGTGCTAAATAGCCTTTACTAGTGGCAGAAATATGTATAACACAAATGCATGCATTACAGTATCAGCAGAACTTCCCTTTTGCTCATTTAAGACCATATCAGAATTCATAAGGTGTGTATATCCTTGAAATGTAAATGTAAGATATACACACAGACAAACTGTAAAAGCACACTTAAAACACATTATAAATAGACAGATTATTTGGGTATGTTAATAATTTTAATATATTTTTAAGAACATTATGTATATTTTATAACTATCCCTTCAGTTAGAAGTTGGATGCAATATCTATTGGAGTTTGATGCAATACTCAGATCTGTATTCTGAAAATACTTTTGTATGTGAATCTGCATGTGTGTTTCTAAAAGAAAGACATAAACTGAGATAGAATAAATAGGCAGTTGGACAGTATGTGTTGGGGAGGTTAAAAAAGGTGTGCTTCTCTGAATCTGAAGAGATGGAGGTGTTGTCATGGTGACTGTTTCTATGGAGACAGTGCTGCCTAGGTCAGCACCAATGAAGTGGTGTTTGTCATTATGCGATCATCCTTACACACACTCTCACAATACAAGACAAACCCCAGAAATATACTGTAAAAGCTTTTATTCACATTGCAGTATTTACAAGCAAAGGGCAAATCATAAAATCCAGCAACGATACAAAGGCATTGTTTACTGTTTGCATAAGGACATTTCGCAAGTAAGGCAACGGAAATACAAATACTGAAATAAGTAACCCAAGGCATGTCAATGAAATTGTGATGTATAGCAATATGCTGATAGTATTAAGATATTGAACTTCATTCCTTTTTTTTTTTTTTTTGGTCATTTAAACTTTTCAGGCACACTTTTCTCTGCCCTAAAGCAAACAGCTAAAGGCACACAATATTTTTTTTTACTTGTGTCATTTATCCCTAAGTTCTTAATTCTGCAGCCAGGAACTCCAATTTGTGCTGTCACCTTTCAGAAAGCAAGTTAAACTGAATTACATGGCTGTCAATGCTAATGGCAACTTGTAGTGTCATTCTGTGTTCTGGTAACTGGATGTGTCAATTTAAATACAAATCACATGTTTCAAGTGACCTATATTGCTGTTCTCTCTCTCTCTTTCACCTTGTTCCTCCTACACCACATTTTCTTGCATTATTCTCAGTTCTTTCCACCTTCCCACTCACTTCAGTAGCTGACAAATTGTTTTAATACAAGGAAAGGAAAATAGTTTTGATTTCTGTCATGATGTTAGATCTACAAAATGGTATAATGAAATTGCCAAATATATCACTACAAATAATAAATACCTAAAACATTGCAATGTTGTCATATAAGAAGCAGCATTAAATACATTAACAATAATTTGCATATTTGCTTATTTTCATAATACAAAACAATATAAAACTCAAAAACTTGAAAAAATGACACAGAATAGCAATTTGATAGTACAATTGCTGATTCTTGTACAAAAAATAAATCTAGTTTATATTATTGTTGTAAATTATTAATGGTTTTTGTCAAGGTAATATTTTAGCACTGGCTACATATATCTGCAAAAAGGTACATTAATAAATGTTTTAAACCTTTTCGTTTTTTTGCACCTAGTAAAGTGAATTTGCATTAAATTATTTTTTTTATTTATCATTGGTTTTCGTCACATCACTATGGCAATTGCCATACTAATGTAATTGTAACACTTTACAATAAGGGCAGATTAACATTAACATTAATGCCGTAGCTAACATTAACTAACAATGAGCAAAGACATTTGCTACTGTATTTATTGTACTGTATTAATCTTTTGCTACTGTATTAAGCTTTATTAAGGTTAGTTAATAAAAATACAACTGTTCATTGCTAATTCATGTTAGCTAAGGTCTATAATATTACTATAGTATATTATAGTAATATAACACAATATGTAATAACAGATACAACTTTTGATTTTAATATTGTATTAGTAAATGTTGCTATTAACATTAAGATTAAAAAATTCTGTAGATGTATTTTCATTGTTAGTTTATGTTAACTAATGTAAACAAATGAAACCTTATTGTAAAGTGTCATTCATGTGATTATTACTCTTTATAGCATTTGTCTAGGATTTCAAATAGTGTACTTGAATTTATTTATTTTTTTAATGCTCTTGCCAGAGAAAATCAGTTTTAGGCCGTTTATGGCATTTGGTAGACAGGATAAAAATAAACATGAATCTATGTATGCATGTGCACCACACAGCTGGCAAACCAAGTGTTTTGAGGTATATAGTCTATAAGACAATACCTGGCTCATTAGATTGTGCTCATCCGATCACAGCTTTCTCATCTGCACGTTTTGAGAAAATAGAGCATCTTTAATATCAGAACCCTTTAACAGTCTTGACCTTCTTTTCATCTCTTTACCAGCTGTTTTATAGTTCATATCTTACTAGAACCAGACAGTCCAGTTCTTCTTGTAGTCGTGAAGTATCACTTCTCTCTTTCCTCTGTAGTAGAGTCTATTTAGAAGTCTTTTAGATGCAAAAAGTCCATCTTGTTTGTCTTAGCCATGCAAAGTCATGCTCAATGTGGTTACAAGGATGGTGGAGGAGTTCCTCTGGCTGATGATACTGTTCCTACCCTGAGGAGCTGCTTGTGAGGGTTTTGGTTCTTGACATTTCAGCACGATGATCACCAGGATGGTTATGAGCAGAAGAAACAACACCAACCCCAAACCGATCAGCAAATACAGGTTGAGATCGGTGAACAGGTCGTATTCGATAGGCACCTCTGTGGTTTCGGTAAACTGCGTGACCACTTGCTCCACCGTGGAGATCTTGATGGTCACCGTGGCAGAGTGAGGAGGATCTCCGTTGTCTCTGGCTATGATGACCAGGTGCTGATGTCTGGGGTCTCTGTAACTGAACATGCGAGTGGTTCTTATCTCACCGTTGTACTGGTCGAGGCTGAAGAGCGTGGTGTCTGTGATCTGGAGGAACTGATAAGTAATACGAGAGTTCTGCATGGAGTCGGCATCCAACGCAATAACCTTGGTGACCAGGGATCCTTTATCGCTCGACCTTGGGATTACTTCTTCTATAACAGCACCTTGTGGATGCCATGGAGAAACTATGAGTGGCGTATTGTCGTTTTGGTCCAGGATGATGATGTGTACGGTCACGTTACTGCTAAGAGGAGGGAGTCCAGAATCTCTAGCTTCGATGTGAAACAGAAACTCCTTCTCTCTTTCGTAGTCAAACGTGCGTAACGTGTAGAGGTTGCCGTTCTCAGGATTGATGGAAAACAGCATGGACATTGACGTGTTGGCGATCTCCTTTTCTATGATGAAGTAAACAAGATACTGATTTTCATGCAAGTCTGGGTCATGGGCGGCTAAAGAGGCGAGCAACGTCCCGGGTTCGTTGTTTTCCATTAGATAAATGGTATAGAGGGACTGAGGGAACGTTGGCGCGTTATCATTGACGTCTTGAATTGTAAGACTGATTGTTTCATTATCCGTCAGAGGAGGGGTTCCTCTGTCGGTCACATGAAGTGTGATATCATAACTGTTTTTGACCTCGCGGTCAAGCGATTCTGTGACTGTTAACTCAAAAAAGTCTTCAGATGACTTATTAAGAGCAAACGGTAATATCTCAGCATTGTGGATGGAGAGAACAACCTTACCATTATCTCCAGAGTCTCTGTCACTCACACTGATGATGGCGATCACTGTTCCTACAGGGTCATTTTCTTTGATCGAACTCTGAAAAGATTTTATCGTAATCTCAGGATGGTTATCATTTAGATCGGTGATGAACACTAAAATTTTACACTGACCAGAAAGTGGATTCACAGCCTTGTCCTTGGCTTCAACGTACATCTCAAAGCTCTTCACTTCTTCAAAATCAATCATGTCTTTTACTCTTATTTCTCCACTGCTGGGATCCAAAGAGAACGTTTCTTGTGTTTTCTCAGATGTGTATAAAGTGAAAGAGTATATGACCTCCGCATTGACACCCTCATCCAAATCGGTTGCATTCATCTGCATAATCAGTGTCCCGATTGGTGCATTTTCAATGAGATCAACCGAGTACACTTGTCGATCAAACTGAGGGGCGTTGTCATTGGTGTCCAGCACTTGAACGACAATGCTGGCCGTACCTGAGCGCGCAGGTACGCCGCCGTCCACGGCGGTGAGGGTTAGTGTATGAACGGCTTGTTTTTCTCTGTCCAAATTTGCTTTTAGCACCAGGTCGACATATTTAGTCCCGTCACTTCCAGACTGGATTTCAATCGTAAACGTGTCGCTGTCACTCAGATAATAGGTTTTGATTGAGTTCTCTCCAACATCTGCATCCACCGCGTTTGTTAAAGAAAATCTCTCTCCAGGTGTTGCTGATTCCGAAACATCGAGTGGTATTCTCTCCCTTCTGAACTGAGGCGCGTTGTCATTGATGTCCATAATTTCCAATTCGATATTAAATATGCGTATTGGACTCTCAATTATAACGTCCATCTTGAGGAAGCAAAACGATGATGTTTTGGCCGGACATAAATACTCCCGGTCAATTTTCTCAGCGATATACAGTTCCCCAGTGTCTTTGTTTATTTCTAGGTATTTTTTGCTATGAACATAATCCAGCTTTACCTTTCTTTCCAACAGGCTGTGCGCGTCAAGGCCCAAATCCGTGGCGATATTTGCGATCACGGTGCCTACTGGAATTTCTTCAGGGATGGAGTATCTTGTTACAGCCGAGGCGAGAATCCACAACGCGGAGAGGACAACATAACTGAGCTGCCTTCTCCTCCACGGATCCATTGCAGAGCGCACGTTAATGCTTTTATTGTCTTTCACAAGAAATATAGCAGTATGTTCCAAAACGAATCGAGATTAGGGGGTATTTGGATTCTTGAAAACATCCAGCAGAGCATGGCCATAGCGCCGTGCCGTGGATCCCGCCCGCTGAATCAGATTCAGCTGAGCTGCTGCTCTCTGTGCCTCCGTCCAACAGCATTATGAAAGCAAAGCATGGCTGTTCTTGCATCCTCCCTTAAAGTGAATATCTGTAGTGCAGCGACATCGTGTGAAGATAAAAGTTTGCATAAAAATATGTTGATGACAAAAAAAATATGAACGAATAGTATTTCTGCTCTATATTTGAAATTACTTTTGACTTTGTTGCGAAATATCGAAAATCCTTATTAATGTCCTTAATGAAAGTATATATATATATGATTAAATCTAAATGTAAAATCTGCCTTTAAAGTTATATTCTTGCTCTCCTACTTTTTTCTTTTTATTCTAACTGTAAATTTTTCTGTCATTGGTTTATGTAGCCAAGAGATGCACTGATTTATATTATCACGCTCTTAATGTTTCTTGTCGTTTTGGCACAGCAAGACCCACTGCAGTGGAAACACTACGGGGTTTTTTTAACAAGAAGACCAGTTATATTAAGAAGAGTTATATTAAGAAATTCTAATAATATTCTTTATTTTATACATTTTGGTAATGAGAGGGATATAAAATAGGAAAATATAACCTATATTCTCATCAATATGGGAAATTACAATTAAAGCAACCATCTTAATGCTTTCAGAAATACTACAATTAACTGAAAAACAAAAATGCAAAAATAAATTATAATAATAATAAATAATAATAATAATAATTATCAAAGTACATTTAAGTCCTGTTGTTGCCAAATCATATAGTACATATAATACAACTAAAATAGACACTTATATACAGAAAGTAACTTACAGGTGAAAAATACAACTGGAAAAATCATTTGAAAAAATCATTGGTTATTTACTGTGTCATCTTGATTGTTATTGTTTGGCTTTTTCTTTTTGCCAAAAGTTGAGAATGAGTTGCAGACTTCAATGTCTCCATTGTTTGCCAGTTTGAGCGTACAGAGTGTTGATGGTGTTCCGGGATACAGCGTAGCTCAAAGGTAGAATAATTATTTAAATTATATCAATAATTATTGATAAATGTATTTAAAACAGAATTGCTATGTATTGTATCTTATGTTGTATTTTATTATATACATATTGTACACATATTATTATTGTTGTTGCTGTTGTTGTTGTTGTCCTTCGTGTAATTCGTACATTGGCATTTCCAAATATATTTTATGTTTTCAATTACATTACAATTTACATTTTATTATTTACATTTTATTATCCTAGGTTAATTAAAGCACAACAAGTATCTGAAGTCTCTATCTAGTGGACAAACTTGAGAATTTTTTTTTTTTTTTTTTTTTCACTTACTTCATTTTGATGACAAAAAAAATATGAACGAATAGTATTTCTGCTCTATATTTGAAATTACTTTTGACTTTGTTGCGAAATATCGAAAATCCTTATTAATGTCCTTAATGAAAGTATATATATATATGATTAAATCTAAATGTAAAATCTGCCTTTAAAGTTATATTCTTGCTCTCCTACTTTTTTCTTTTTATTCTAACTGTAAATTTTTCTGTCATTGGTTTATGTAGCCAAGAGATGCACTGATTTATATTATCACGCTCTTAATGTTTCTTGTCGTTTTGGCACAGCAAGACCCACTGCAGTGGAAACACTACGGGGTTTTTTTAACAAGAAGACCAGTTATATTAAGAAGAGTTATATTAAGAAATTCTAATAATATTCTTTATTTTATACATTTTGGTAATGAGAGGGATATAAAATAGGAAAATATAACCTATATTCTCATCAATATGGGAAATTACAATTAAAGCAACCATCTTAATGCTTTCAGAAATACTACAATTAACTGAAAAACAAAAATGCAAAAATAAATAATAATAATAATAAATAATAATAATAATAATTATCAAAGTACATTTAAGTCCTGTTGTTGCCAAATCATATAGTACATATAATACAACTAAAATAGACACTTATATACAGAAAGTAACTTACAGGTGAAAAATACAACTGGAAAAATCATTTGAAAAAATCATTGGTTATTTACTGTGTCATCTTGATTGTTATTGTTTGGCTTTTTCTTTTTGCCAAAAGTTGAGAATGAGTTGCAGACTTCAATGTCTCCATTGTTTGCCAGTTTGAGCGTACAGAGTGTTGATGGTGTTCCGGGAATGTAAACATTATGTTGATAGTCTGGTGGGAGTTGAACTGAATCCTGTTGGTTGTAACGTGTCCATGAGCGATTTGGAAAACCTCCACCCTTAGATGAGGTCCTATAGTCTGTTTTAGATGACAAAGAAAAAATGGTTGGATAAACAATTCAGGTAAATCATAAGGAACATATATATGAAGCTGGTCTTCTTGATCATGTTTTAGGCATGACAAATAAACTGATTTTACCATGCATGTGACTTCCCCAGGTCCAGTACTGTGGCACAGACGTGTAAGCATAGTTGTCTGAGTCCTGAATCAGTCTGCGCTGCAGAGTCCTACCTGTGTTTATTGGAGTATGACTAGAAAAACCAAAACATGGACATGTAAGATGCTTTGTGCATGTGAGAGAGAGAGTGAGAGAGGATGGAGGACAGAGAGTGATAGAATCAGCTTTTACTTTAATCACCTTTTATAGGCATAATTGAGCTGGTTCTTGGTCAGGGCTCGGTCTTTGTTTCCCTGTTTAAGCTGCAAAGAAAAAAAAAATAGTTCAAATATTTACTCCACTTACACATGAGAGGTTAAAGAATGCACTACAAACTTAATGCCTATGCCAAGAAGAGAAAAGACCTCAGAATACATCAAAAACAGTCGCTAAAGCACTAAATGACTTTACTAATTCATCACCTTGTTGCAGTACACCTATGTACATTTGTTTATTTTATAATTTATTTACAAACTATGCATTAAGAATTTTAAGGTCTAGTTTACAGAAAAAAAAGAATACCAAGTATAGCTCAAAGATTGTGAAAAACTTATTTCGGGAAGATGTTCCTGTCGGGCTACAAGGCTTGAGGAACATGAAGTCACTTTTAGATGACTCTGGAGTCAGGCACATTTTATAGCAGTAGTTTTGACCTATTGTGTTGTTCTCGTTGACTTCCACGCAGTGCGCGGCTCCCTTTGATCCCGGTGATAAGTGAATGTTCAAGTTAGATTTTTTAATTACGTCACTGGCGGAGTCCTTAGAATTAAATCCACAGCACGCGTTCATGTCCTTCAATCCCTTAATTGTAGCCAGGACAATAATAGCCACAAGAAAAGTGAATGAAACGGCGCCCAGAGATACGATTAAATACAGCGTGAGGTTTGACCGGTACTGGGGGCTGAGCGCGAGGTCACCAAAATCAGACAAGGATTCTGGCACGCTGTCAACAACTGACAACATGATGGAGGCCGTGGCCGAGAGCGGCGGCTGACCGTTGTCCTTGACCAAAACCACCAGCCTCTGCCTCCTGGGGTCGTTGTCCATCAGCCGGCGAATTGACCTGATCTCTCCAGTGTACAGGGCAACACTGAACAAACAGATCTGTAGCTTGGAGGACTTCATAAAAGAGACGCGAGTTTTGCCCGGCGTCCGCGTCCATGGCGGTGATTTTAGCCACTAGGTACCCGGCATCAACATATCTGGGGACAACTACAACCGCGGTGTCGTTGTCGGGCAACGGGGATACAACGACTGGAGGGTTGTCGTTCTGGTCCAAAACAAACACGTTGACTGTTACGTTCGCGCGGAGAGGCGGGAAACCAGCATCTTCGGCTTGAACCACGATCTGAAAGTTTCTGAGCTGCTCGTGGTCGAAAGAACGCAGTGCGTAAATGTTGCCGTTATCTGAGTTGATGGACACGTAGGTGGATACCGGCATTCCATGGATGTCGTTTTCTAGAATACAGTAGGATAAGTAGGAATTCTGATCCGCGTCTGCGTCTTGTGCGGTGATGGTGCAAATCGAGGCTCCTGGCGCGTTGTTTTCGGTCAGGTAGACCGTGTCGGAGGGCTGTTTGAAACGCGGCGCGTTATCGTTTATGTCAGACACTTGCACTAAAATTGTTTTCCTAGTAAACAGCGGCGGTGAGCCCATATCACGCGCCGTGAGAGTGATGTTATACTCTGAAATAGTCTCTCTGTCCAGAAAATCACATGTAACTAACGTGTAATAGTTTTTAAAACATGAATGTAGCTGAAAGGGAACGTGATGAGGAATTTCACAATCAACATTTATGTTTTCCCCAAAATCTTTATCCATAACGCTAATGACTGCCATCACTGTGCCAGGTGGCGCGTCTTCTTGAACTGGCGTGGATACTGATGTAAGAATCACTTCTGGAAGATTGTCGTTGACGTCTATGATGTTAACCATAACTTTGCAGTGCACCGCCACCGCTGACGGTCCCTTGTCTTTGGCTTGTACATAAATCTCGTGCATCCGTGCCTTTTCATAATCTATAAGTCCCTTTACTTTGATTTCTCCAGTGCGGGAATCCACGCTGAACAGCTCGCGCACTCTCATTGGAGCGTGGCCGCTAAAAGAGTACGTGATTTCTCCATTGGGTCCTTCATCTAGATCAGTGGCGTTTAGTTTTATCACCACTGTGCCTCGCGGTGCGTTTTCAGCCAGCCTCACTTTATAAAAGTTCTGATCGAAAACAGGCGCGTTGTCGCTGGCATCCAGCACCGTTATGTTTATTTGCGCAGTGCCAGATCTTTCCGGCGAGCCTCCGTCCACCGCTGTTAGAACCATCAGGTGAGTCTTCTGCTGCTCCCGGTCCAGCGGACTTTCGAGGATCAGTTCTGCGAATTTACTGCCGTCGCTGCGCGTTTGGACATCCAGGAAAAAGTGTTCGTTTACGCTCAGCAGATAAGAGCGCAGAGAGTTGTCATCGACGTCCAGGTCCTGCGCGCTTTCCAGTGGGAAACGCGATCCAGGCGCGGCCGATTCGGAGATATCCAGGTTAAATTCACTCCATGGAAAAACCGGAGAGTTGTCGTTGACATCTAATATTTCAACTTCCACCCTATACAATTCTAATGGGTTTTCGATCACAACCTGGAGATGGAATGAACAATATGTATTTTGTTCGCACAACTCTTCTCGATCAATTATTTCATTGACAAATACAACCCCGTTTTCTAAA